AGATATTCAATAGGCTTTTGCTACTTACGGACATTTGCGATTTTCGTTTATAAAGCTGCACAAAGGCAAACTGTCATCAGTTGGCTAGAAAAGTAAGAGCACTTGTTTGAAACAAAGCAATCAAGAAAATAACCAATTCAACCAAACAATATGACAATCTACTAACCAAGTCACCAAGCCAGCCAAACCAGAAAGCAATCACCCCAAAAAATTGATTCAACAAGTTCAAAAAGACTTCTGAGCCATTTACGTCACTACTTGATTTGCAATGCATTGTGGATAAGTCTATAGAGAAAACAAAATAAATCCGCCATGTTCTGTCTCAAACATGTAKCACACAATGCATTGCGTATGCGGTTCATGACGTAAAAGCTTTAGGGGTCTATTGACTGTTTTTGTCGCATTCTTGTCCACAGTTGGCTTTTTATAAAGCGTCCTTTCTTCTCAAATACTAGATGACATGGTAGTCATCCATTCTACTTACCTTACGATGATTGAACTCCAAAATTACTGGTTCGGGCAGATCYGCTAGGTATCTCTTTTTCACATTTAGCACATTTATAGACACAACGTCGGAGTTTACGTCACAAATTAAGTCTCTAAAATTAAAACGACATAAAAAAGTTATAATAGAGTATATTAAAAATGTTTTAATAAAGTCATTTAAACGCCTGACCCATAGTTGCAAATCGAACTCTCTAATGAGATGCAAGATTTTTGTCTGAAACGGATGCGGGGCGGGGATGCGGGGACGGGGAGAACAGGGAGGATTTCAATCTCCGAAGATTTCTATCAATATGTTTTTTTCCTTCTGATATATTCTCAGGTCCTGCGTTCTCCTCACTTAGAAATTCATCGTATTATTATTCTTTATTTTTTACAAAAATCCGCGTACATGATGTCTTTGTATCCCCTGGTATACTCCACTATTCACCAGTTAAAAAAGAAATGTTTAAAGATAAAAAAATGTGTTAAAAAGTGCACATGAACCCTTTTAGAAAATCATTTTTAACAAACGGCAAATATGATAAATATGATGCTAATCATTGTTTTGAAGAAAAAAAAATTATTGAATTTTATTTTTTTTAGCTAAAGGCATTTTAAAATTGAAAATGCTAATGAAGTGACGTCAAAGAAAGTTTCATTAGATTTACGAACTTTGAAGGAGTCGCTTAAAAATGGTTTCATGATGACATTAAATTTATCGTAAGCAATGTAGGGTATAACCATATTCCCAATTGGCGTTCATGAAAATATTATTGAGCGACTTTTCCAAAGTTCGTATATCTAATGAAGCCTCCCCTGACGTCATTTCATTAGCATTTTCAATTTTCAAATGCATCTAGCTCAGAAAATAAATTTCGAGCAACTTTCTTTTCCTTGAAAACAATGATTAGCATCATATTTGCCTTCTGTTAAAAATGATTTTCTAAAAGGGTTCATATGCACTTTAAGCAGAAGCAGAGTTTAATTTTTGTTTTGATTTCACATTAGAAAAACCTTGGTAAAAAAATTGAAGCTGAAGGCAATATTCATTCAGTTTTCAGACAAGAATCTCCCGTTCTCTTCTTTATTACATTTTTTGTAYTTTACCCTAAATTTGGAAATGTAGTGTAAGAAACTCCAATAAGCTCTAAAGAAAAAGTAAAATATGTTAAAATAKTGTTAGTTTTCGGTTGTTATTAAAAGGAAATAGAATAAAATGGTTTAAACACCGAATCTTTACTTCAACTGAAGATACAGAACTATACGAAATGTCCGAGTTGCAGAGAAAAAGAGGCAAAAGAAATAAACAAAAAAAAAACAAAAACAAAATTAACTAAAGCAAAAAATAAAATTAAACAAAACAAACAATAACAAAATCTTAGTCAATAAGAGGACTAGAGAGAGAAGTCCCATACCATCGTTATCTAAATCCTTGACCAGAGACTCGTCAAGCGTAACTTTTGACGATTTCGACTGGTATTGAAAACCTTTAAAGGTGTTTCTCTTCATTATATTTAGCTGAAGATCTAAAGAAAGCAATGATATTAATTAAAAATAATAATTGAGCAATCGGCGGTACATCGATTATCATGATTCAACATCATAAGTTGATGAAATATCTTTTTTMGGTAAGTAAGTGCACTGTTATTTTCAAGAAGTTGAAATAACTTTATTAATGGAGTTTAAGTTTCTCTACCTTTTAGAGTAGCTTTAAAGAGAGTTAAATTAACTCTACAAAGAGAGTAGCTTTACTTCAGAGGGTCAACTACTCAAAAGAGAGACAAAATTATTCCAAAAGGGTTTCAAAAATAGCTCTTAGAAGGGGAAACAAGTCTATTTAAAATTGGTGGAGTTCCAGAAAGGAGTTATCTGGTACCATATTCAACTTCTCGAAATACAACAGTGTGTTTGTAGTTCATCAATAAAACAAAAGAAATCAACGGGTATCATTGAGTATATCATCAATTAGCTATTCACTTGAATATTCTSCTAAGACGATGGAAAGTCATTCATTTACTGTAAGAGACATTTTCTTACTCATGTTCTTGTCGCTGATGTTAACATTCATTTCCTTGATGCCTTTAGTCTTTACAATCTCAAAAATGTTGTCTGTCATATTTTCCACCGTRCCGGGTATACTGGCAACCTTGGAGGATCCCTGTGCATGAAAGAAAATGAGACAATGAAACATATCATTCGCTTGGGATTCCTGTATTTTTAGGCTTCCTTCCGCSCTGGGAGCTCTACATTTCGGTTCACACTAACACTTTTTGTGAAAGTTTTAATGTGATTTTTCTAAAAAGATTTTTTTCTTATTCTTTTGTGGAGACGTTTAGTTGGTCCATCTCTGTGTACTGAATAGAAGTTTACAAGGAAATTCTTTAGCATAATTAATCACCCTTAATGTGGCTGATCTGGTTGTTCTCTCTCATTTTTTTACAATCTGGAAGTTCAAGCACTGAACCAAAAACGAGTCAAGTGAACTTCCAAATAAGGTATAAGATTCATCAAAAGGAAAATTGTTTAAATTAAATTAGATTTCGTATAGCTGTAGCTGCACGGGCAACAGTTGTCACGATAGAAAACAACGGGCACAGATCGAAAACGTTTATTTGAGAAAAGATAATGGTTATATACAGCCGATCTTTAAATACCTAAAATAAMACTTCCAATGTTCCAATTGTCAYGTGTCTTGATATATTTTCAGTTTTCGTGGCACATTCTCTAATGTCAATATTGAATTTTARAAATGCCTTGTCATTTCTTCACTTAAACACACCTGACATTCTAGACAGTTCACACGAAAGACAAGTGAATATTTTCATAAGTCACTGGATTGGAACATTAGAAAAGTTATAATAGCTCGACAATTTTTTCAAGATCGTCTATGTCAACACGKGCTCATGCCACGAAAGCGACGTGTAGTACTACTTGCACAATGTACGAAATCCGCTTTAAGGTTAAATATATACATGTACATACGTCGTCTTTAGATMCATTTTCCCAGGAAGGCCTGTTTTTGGGATCTATAATGAAGCTTGTAACCTCGACGTAGCTCTAAAAAAATAGCAGCAACGAATCAATCTCAGTTCACTACTACAAAGGTCTCAAGAAAGCAGTGTCCACGCGTTTCCAAAAAATGTGTGTGATTTTTGTTTGAGCTGATTCTGTCCTTGAAATTGTTGTCCGATTTCGGAGAATAAGATGATGTAAATGAATTATGATCGTCGTAGTGAAATAATAACAATCTATAAGCAATGGTTAACAAATGGATGYAAGTCTTCAATGGGAATCGGACCTATGATGGAGTTATTTCCGGTTATCTGTTGSGAGCCACCTGATATGACATCAACGTAGGCGCCATCAAACGCTTGAAGTCTCCGGGTGCAACTTACCTTGAGCAGATTTTTCATTTCCGGTACAGTACTGTTAGTTGGTACATCTTTGACTTTGGATCCAATTTGTTCTAATACCTCAACAGTGGCTTCAATTTCTTTGCTGGTGATTTTCTTAGCAACAGAGAGAGAATCACTAACCGCCTTAGTAGCTTCTGATATTTCTGATGAACTTTTTGCATCCTATCATGATAAGTATTATGGTTTACTTTCCTAGAGATACTGGTCTAAATATATACACCGTTTTGATAAGTCCCGAGGTATTGTGTTCTCCGCACTTGACGTCAAATTTATTCTTTTGAAATTTTTACAATACAAAAGAATTCAAAAGAATAAATTTGACGTCAAGTGCGGAGAACACAATACCTCGGGACTTATTTTATTATTTTTATAGTCTTAAATACTGCWAAACAAATATCGCGAACGTCTTCTTAAACGATCTCTTACAGATTAAACAACATTCCACTTGCGATAAACGGTTTGAATATTGATGAACAAAAGAACTGGAAGGGTCCAAAAGCGTACTTACTATTTCTTTATGAAGATAAGTTCGGAAAACAGCGTTCTAATTGGTAATACTTTTCCGAAAACCTAATTTGATTGATCCAGACTGATGTGAAGTATAGACCAAAACTTATAGAACGATTCACTTTAATTACCTGAATTCCCTTTTTCGCTTTATCTAAAGCTTCATTTAGAGGAGCTGGAACTACAAAAGCACACAAGTTATCATAACTGCTTCAAACTGAATATGTCCCAATTTAACTTTTAAAGTTTTCACTCTTTTGAAACAGAATGGATTTCGTATGACTGCGCAAAAACACGGCATTTTTGTGATGAGACTGCCCCGTGCTTTGCCGGTGATGTGTTCTTGACTGTGTATTTTCCTTTGAAGTCCTACCTAARGAGGGGCAAAKGGTCTGTCTTACGACTTCCATATATGGTTGTGTATGTACATTGCGCTTATGTACACATAGAAGGAATTTTCAAAGACTTAAACTTAAACTGCAAAGATATTTTTGAGAGAAGCGCATTAAGATTCAAACCAGCGCTATAGACCCCTTGCAGTTCATGGGAATGCAGCTCCAACTGGAGGACAAAACAATAGATTCTAGTTCCCAAGAGGATAAAAATCTTTTGTTTTGTCCTCCAGATGAAGCTGTTTTGACGTCACATGCAAGGGGTCTATACACTGCCTAACCCTATATTTTCCCTAAACCTAACCATTAAGCCATGAGACCAATTCCCTTGAGTGAACCTGAATTTTTGTGATATCTATGCAACGGCATGGCATGAACAACCACGTATATGTACATAAGATTGAATATATGATTAATGAACCTYTTATAGGGTCATGAGGTCCTTCTATAGGTACATCAACACCAAAACATATGGACATCCATATATGGAAGTACGATAGACTCTACATAAGGAGGGAGTTATATTATCGTGCCCATGCCTTTGTACCGCAGTCATACGAARTCTTCTCTGTCTATACTTTTGTGGTATTTCTTACCTTTACATGTCTTTYCGTCTGACTGAAGAACCTTTCCACTTTCACACGAACATTCATAGCTTCCGATTGTATTGGTACAGATTTCTTGGCAAGCATTGTTATTAAGACATTCATCTATATCTAGACAAGACTTCTTATCCGACGCGAGGCTATACCCTTTTGAACACAGGCAATAGTGGCTCCCGTTGTTGTTGACGCATTCATGGTCACAAGCGTCTTTTTCAAGGCACTCGTTAATGTCATGGCATGATTTATTATCATAASCCAGARCGTATCCTTYGTTGCAGCTGCATTTGTAAGAGCCAATCTCGTTAGTGCACGTTTGCTCACATGTGCTGSTATCGTTGCATTCGTCTACGTCYGTGCATGTTTTGTTGTCGGGGTTTARAGCGTACCCTGGAGGACAGGAACACCGATAGCTACCAGGCGTGTTTATACAGATACGTTCACAGRGTTGGTTTGGATGGAMTTCACATTCATTGACATCTTGGCAGCTTCTYTCATTGTCCCGCAGCTTAAAGCCTGGAAGACATGAACAMTGGAAACTACCTTCGGTGTTTGTGCAAAGCTGCTCACATTGGTTGTTGCCAAGACATTCGTCTACGTCRATGCATGCCTTTCCGTCGTAATGGAGATCGTAGCCCTGGTTACAGGTACAGTTATACCCGCCTTGGGTATTTATGCAGTTATGACTACAATTGGCTTTATTAGACAGACATTCATCAACATCYGTACAGTTGTGGTTGTCATGGTCAAGAGTGTATCCTTGACGACATGAGCATTTGTAACCACCCTCTTCGTTGGTACAAGTATGAGAGCAGCCTGAATTAGACATACACTCGTTAATATCCTCACAGGATATAGTATCGTTGCTAAGGCTGTATCCAGGGTTACAACCACATTTATAACTTCCCTCGTAATTATAGCAACGTTGTTTGCATCCACCATTGTTACTTGCGCATTCGTTGATATCTGAACACGTTTTTCCGTTGGAGGAAAGAGTGTAGCCACTTTTGCATGAGCATCTGAATGAGCCTTGAGAATTTGTACACACATGGTCGCACCCTCCGTTCATCGTCTGACACTCATCAATATCAACACAGTTTTTGAATTGGTCWGTTTTRTAACCAGGCCCACAGTCACAACGGTAAGACCCCAGGGTATTGACACACGATTGGGTTGGTTTGCAYGGCGAATTAAGCGCACATTCATCTATGTCAAGACACTGCAAAGGGTTACTTAAGTTTTTTCTCCAGCCTTGAAAACAGACGCAAGAAAAACTACCTWGGGAATTAGAGCATAGACTGTGTTGGTGACATCCACCATTCTTGACTAGTTTACACTCATCGATATCAATGCAAYYCTTCTTGTCGCTRTCCAAGCGATWTCCCTCTTGGCAAGTACAGTGGTATCCTCCTAGTGTGTTAACACATGCGTACTGACATCCACCAGCATTCGATGCGCATTCATCGACGTCTTCACACTTCAAAGAGGTCTTATTGAATTGGTATCCGCTTTTACAAGTACATTCCTGACATRCGCAGTCGTCGATTGCGCAAATGCTATGGCAGCTTCCACTGCTGATATTACATGASCTGTCATCTCCACAAGGCAGTGAGTCTTTATAGCTGGTACCACAACGACAAATCACTTCTGTTTYGTTATCCTTGCTTTCTAGACACATTGACTGGTTGGATTTACAAGCCTGCAGATCTTTTTAAAAATAAAGAAAGAGCTATATAAATTGAAGGTCAGTCTTTTTTACAAATATAGATATGAAAATAAAGAACAGGCACTTCTTATTTACAAGGGTTACCATATCTGTACCTTGGCAACTGCTAGACGTTCTCAAATCATCAAAACTGATGTACGCCCACTGAGAGTCATCACCCTCGTCAACTATCCTTATCTGTGCGAGTTGTCCTATGTAWTGRCTTGTATTCCAGGATTTCCGTRCCAGTGCCTCATTACAATTTCCAGCTGTCTTTAATTTTACCAGGCCATTTATCAGTAGCTCCACTCGTGTTGTAGAAACATCACATCCCCCTGTAATTATAGTTAGCATTGATGGTATCTTCTCGATCATTCGTAAATGAAAAAGGAATGGGCGAGTTCTTTTCTATCCACACCCATTGGGCCAGGGTTACAATTATTTTTCTATTATAAGTGTTAGTATACGTGTCTCGGGATCTTGATGTGATTCGTTTTAGCTTTATTCAACTACTGACTCTTTCTAAAAATTACAAGGTATTTTCTATGCTACAAAATCAGTTCAAATTCTATTTACTTAAGCTTTGACATTAGAAGCAGAATTCCTATTGGTGATGGTACTAAAA